TGGCTGGTTGATACGAATTCTGCTTTCGACTCGCACCGACCACTGTGCTGACGTAAAATATTCTCGGTGATACACGGATCATAGGTTAGATCTCCTTGCTGTTAGGGCTAACCTAGGGTAGTTTCCGTGGTTTTCCTCTCCATGTAACGCAAATATGGGTTAGTTCCGTGTAAAAACTCTTCTACAAAGGTAAATTTATATCTAGATTTGAGCCAGGATTAAATATAGAACCCCTTGAGCCCCCCTAATATATCTATAATACTACTGCTTGACGTGGTGTATAGGTATGTTGCAATGATAAATTTAGAAACGTATGAGAATTATAGGTTATTATTTAGGGAAAATCTAGGCCTTCGATGTATATGCGAGAACGCAAGGAATATTCGGAAATGTTTTATGTCCCTTCGCTTTCATTAAAAAGGGGAAAATTGAGGTTAAAATTCGCACACCTTGTGCCCCTTTAATTTTGTTGCTCGGTGTGGTATGTTAAAATAAAATATCTGACTACGTTTGAAAATTATAAGCAAACATTTAGGGAAAATATAGGCAACTATGTATGAGCAAAATATTAAAAGAAAACTTTAAAAGTTATGAGTCCCGACGCTTCATTATAAAGGAAAAATATGGACGTTTAATTTAGGCCACCTTGAATTTTTAAAATGTCGTCGCTTTCATAATAAAGGGGAACATTGATGTTGTAATTTGTCCTTTATAATGCGAGCGTCAGGATTTAAAAAATTTTATTGTGTTCTTATATACGAAGGCCTATATTTTCCCTGAATAATGACCTATTGTTTTTAAACCTGACCACATTTATAAATACTATGTGCCTCTGTGCTACGCCAAGCCGTAAAAATTATACCCGAATAAGTAAGTGGGCAAATGGGACTCAAATTTAGCGCCAATATTCCCTTTATAATGTAACGTTGGAATATACAATTTTTCCAGTTATTTTTTTATATTTCGCACTTAAGTAATGAATTATATTTTCCCTAAATATTAACCTATAATTTTCAAACTTGGTCAGATATATTGTTGGAGCGTACCCCACCACCACATTAATCCACAAAATTATAGAAAAATAGGGGAGGGCACAAGAAGCCCCATTGTTACCTAAATATAAATCGTATTATATAATTTTATAATATTTAATTTCTATTCGCTTCTGTTCTTATAAGTCCAATTTGAATTCGTTTCAGTATTCTCGTTATACTACGCGTATGATTGATTTACACATAAATTTTATTTTAAGAATTAGTACGTAAACACCATAAACTAATATGGCTTTATTTTAAATTGTGTCGTAAAAAGTAACCTAACAACTATTATGAGTATCGTATCTTATTTCGATTATAAATTTTAGTGTTACTGAATACAGAAAGGAAGGCATCAACATTAATTAGTGCCATGTTAGCCCAGTGGTTGGAGAATCAGACTCTGGTGTAGAAGACCCGGGGTTCGATTCTCGGCTCCGCTAAGACACACTGAGTTGTGGAATCGAAAGTCCTGTGAGAGATCTCTGAGCAGTTCCATGGGTACAGGGATCTGGAGAAAATTTCCTTCCCCTTCAAATCTAAATGAATAAGTGATGCTGCCATCTACCCGTGGGTATATGAACTAAGACGTACTTTCACCCTTGTGGTGCTCGTCAAACAGAAGACGTACCTCTTTAACTTAATTCACAAAAAAGCCAATGGCTGGCAAACTCGATTTGCTCAAGTGTTATTAGAAACCAACACTTTTCACTAAAAGCAGTAAAGAAGAACATTCTTGGTGCTTTACTATACTTAATAGTAAGGAATAATCTGCGACCATTGTGAATTTGACTGAACCGCTTCTGTTAATTTACCTACAATGCATTACAGTGCATGTCCTAGAGTGCTTCAAACGCTAAAAGTACCACACGACTTGGTTTTAAACAGATTCGTTTCACAAAACTGTATAATGAATTTATTAGGGATGTTACGCCACATAAAAAACAACAACATGTATCTATGAAAAATTTGAGAAAATTTGATATTCAAATACACTTAAGTTGACTTGAGATCGAACTCACAACCTTCCGGTGCCAACAAGAATCATACTGCAATTAATTACAACACAGTATGGATGGAACTTTTATTTACTCGTAGAATGCGGAATATGAAGTCCCGCTGTGGACTGATCGTTAAGACACGGTTCCCAGTTGAACACCGAAGTCGACCATTACTGGCTGCTGTCGGTGTGCGGGTGGGTGACCATTTGTTTGGATTAGTCTGTGTAGGGACCGAGGGGGTGTGGCATTAGTCCTCGTGAAGCTTTTCTACCGTAAAGTGCCCGACTTCGCATGCAGGTCGTCGGGCTACCAAAGCGAGGGTGCCATCCCCTCTGCAGAGGATCAAAATTGTGATGGCGTGACTTCGGATCATCCTCGGGGATGCTTCTCAGACCGTCGCCAAAAGCCCATATGTGCAGCTCTAGTGCGACGTAAATGAACTCCAACAGCAACCACAACAGAATATGAAACTGCTATTAAAATTTGAATAATTCGATTAAGTTACTGCAAATTATGATATATTTAGCTTGAGCCGCTATGGCTCAGGGGATAGAGCGTTCGCTTTCCAATGAGGCGAACCGGGTTCGAATCCCAGTCGATACGAATGCCTCATACGGTTTGCGCCTACCACAGTGCTTAGTCCCGCAGTGGACTGATCGTTAAGACACGGTTCCCAGCAGATCACCGAAGTCAAGCATCACTGGCTACGGTCAGTGTGCGGGTGGGTGACCACTTGGATCAGTCTGTGTAGGGACCGAGGGTGTGCGGTATTGGTCCTCGCTAAACTGTTCTACCGTAAAGTGCTCGACTTCGCTGTAGGTCGTAGGGCTACCGAAGCGGGGGTGCCATCCCCTCTGCGGAGGATCAAAATTGTGATGGCATGTCTTCCGATCATCCTCAGGGATGTTTCCCAGAACGTCGCCAATAGCCCATGGTGCAGCTCTAGTGCGACGTAAATGAACAAATCAATCAAACTACAGTGCTGACTTGAAATATCCTCAGTGGTAGACGGATCAAGGGTTAGAGTCCACTTGTCGTCAGACTAACAGTGGAAGGTTCTCGTTTTCTTCCTCTGCATTTAACTCAAATGCGGGTTATCTTCATCAAAAAGTCCCCCGCAAAGACAAATTTCTCCCAATACTCGGTCCAGAATTTCCTTTGTTTCTGGATTGGGTTCAAAATTACAAGGCTACGGATTTAAACATTAGTAGTCGTAAACCCATAAAATTGGGTCGGCTGTTCAACGACGGTTCGAATATATTTAGCGTTATAATTGTAAACATCTTGCAAAATTATTCGTCCTTATTCAATCAAGTCAAAAAGTGCAAAAGTTATAGAAATGTATGCATTTTATTTTTCAAATATTTGTATATATTTTGTATATATTTGTATAAAATTATATATTTGTAACAATTGAAAATATTCAATGAGAATTATCTGATACTTTAGAGATTAAAAGATGGAATTATTTTATTCATCACTAGTTTCATCGAGGTTAATGTAGCTTTTAATGTGAAGGAAAAAGATCAGATAATGATATTTCAGCGTTTTTTTCCCAAAGGTAAACGTATTTAAAAAAATATTATCATTTTTGCGAACCTGTTATCATTCATGCCAGAAATCCTGAAGAAAAAGTTCAAAGCTTATATCAACAATGAAGTGGCATAAAAAAAAACTACACCACAAAAGAAATGATCGTAAAGTCTTTATTTTCTTAAGGGTTTCTAATGATAACAAATTTGAATACACAAAAAGAAGTTTTATTAAATAAACCTTTTTTATCGCATCTTTTATTATCTATTAACGGGAGCTAAAAAGTTTATTACCCTTAATAAGCTATGAACGTAATTAAGCGGTGATTGAAGCTCTTTTTTAAATGTTTTTTTATTATTTAATAACATATTTTAAAAGAAGTTTTGTGTCAAGTGAGTTTTGTTAATAATATGACCCTAATTAACTTATGGTTAATCGAATTAATTCACACATTGATTGAATTTTGAGTTAATTATTCTTCTTAAATGAAAAAAAATATATTTTGCTCAAAAAAATTAATCTTTTCCATCGTAAAATACAATGACACCATTATCTGTTTAATATACCTGATGAAAAGTTTTTACGTAAATTGAGAAATTTTTATAGGCTATTAGCTAAGTTAAATGGATACCTTAACTGACTATTTTTCAATAAAATGAAGCATCGTATCACCTTTAGAATTTATTAAAAGAGTTTATTAACGTATATAAAATAAGCACAGGACATTTATATACAAAAATAATGTTCCAAAACAAAACATAGATGTAAACATATACATTCTACGTGTCTAACATTTAAAAATTGATATTTAAACTTTGGAAACTTAAAATCGTGGAACAATTTTTTCCCCAAAGTTGGAGAACGTTTTATTGTAACTTGATTTAATCGACACTAGATGGCGTTCGATAAACTGGCTGTATTATAGTTCTATGAATGAAAATGTGCTAGCTTTATGATATGCAAGTTAGTGTTGATTTAAAAATCTGTTAATAATATAAAGATTCCTAAGTTATTAAAACGAGTAGAGTCTATTTTAAAATTTTCATTTGTTGATTTGCTCTTTTAACATATAAATAAGTTTCTCTTACACTTCAGCAAATTTTTAACCGGAACTCGATAATCAGTTATTCGACATTTATGTTTAGTTCATAAAAAACGTCTGCTTCTATTTCTTATATAGTTGACTGAATAATAAATGATGAAGAATTTAAAAGGATTTTATTTAACTTAAAATTACAGACACTGTGGAAACCTGTTATTAATTACAGGTACGAGGGTTATTTTTTTTTCAAGGTCCGATTGGTCGCTAAAGGAAAACTTCGGGGAAAATCTGCTAGGTCCGTGCACAGACGTCTTGTGCTGTGTCTTTAGTTCGCCGGGGTAAAGCGTGGATTAGCGGTTGTGATTTTGAGAACGTATGGAGCACATAAACATGCTTCGAAAAATAGAGTCTCCCGCCAAATATGAATTGCGTTCCGTCATTCGATTTCTGCATGCTGAAGGAAGCAATGCAGCTGAAATTTATAGACGAATGAGTAAAACGTACGGAGAAGCGTTCCTTAGTGAAAGAAATGTTAGGAACTTTGATGCTGGACGCACAGATGTTCATGATGCAGGCGAAAAGGGAATGAAGTCAGTGTCAAACGATGATCTTATTCAGCGTTTGGATCAGGCGATTAGCGGAAATCGTCTGTGTACAATTTCTACGTTGAGTGAATTGATTCTGAAAATTTCCCGGTCAGCTCTCTGCATCATTGTGAGTGAAAGACTCGAGTACCGCAAACTCTGCACGAGATGGGTTCCCAAGATGCTGTCTGACCATCACAAAACTCAACGAATGAGCACCGCATTAATCTTCCTCGAGCGGATTGAAGCGGACGGAGATGAGTTTTTGGACAAAATTGTCACAGGAGATGAGACATGGGTCCATTACGAAACTGACGAAACGCTGGCTAGGAGGACAAACTTACTCCACAGACAACGAGCTGCAAACCAGAGTACAGAATTGGCTGAAAACACAGGTGGCTGCATTCTATGATGAAGGTATTGGAAAATTGATACCACGCTACGACAAACGTATGAATCGGAACGGCGATTATGCCGAAAAGTAGCTAAGGGGACAGTGAAGTAAAATTCTTTCAAAAATTTGATTTTTTGAATTTGACATCATCTATTAGCCTATACTTTTCTGATTAAGAAAATATATAGGTTTGCTAATTTTCATAAATTTAAAGTGCTTTAAAAGCAATAAAACAAAAGTAAACAAAAGTGCCACGCCCACATTTCAAGGTTTCGTTTTCTGTTTACTTTAGAATACTACTGTTTTTTATGTTTTTTTACATTCTGCCTTGCGCCTAGAAACGAAATAAAGAAAGAAGCTCTTTTGTGGATCGTTAGTGACGGAATCTAACTTATTTATTGATTTATTGAAATTACATGCATTTGCTGACTTGTGTGCTCAATATAGGCTTTTAGTCATTGTCAAGTAGAAAATACAGATAGAACAATTCAGAGAAAGACATCACAAAGAATACATCCAGGGTTACGGTGGGATTCGAACCCGCTACCTCGAGATAAAACAAGTTATGGTGCTGGAGAGCTTTAAATTTATGAATTATTTTTAACTATATGTTTTTTTACCTTTAAATCTGTTTTTCTCAAAACATTATTTTTTGTTACTTAGGTACATATATCTCTTGTTCTATACAATTTAAAAAGATAAAACTTGGTAGGCTTATACATCATTGATTGTTTTATACAGTAAACCTCAAATTTAGTTAAAAATTTAAACATTTTGAAATCTGGAGTAAAATTTAATTGCCGAAAATCAGCAAAAATTGGTATTTTGAAACAGTCAATTTTTTATTCTGCAAAAAATTGTGCATTTTAGTCTAATTTTAGGTATACTGTATACTCTAGGCTATATATTGTGTGTATAATTTTTTTCAGACAATTATATTGAGTAGTTGTAGTTTTATATGTACCTTACTGATGACATAATTTGAAAATTTAACAAAAAATTTGCCTATAAATTGTATGAATAAAAATTATTGTCTAACTTAATTTGTATATTTTACTGCAGAAATACATTAAAAAAAACCTAACAAATAAATATTAAAAAATTTAGAAACCTATCATTAAAATTACATTTTTTGTAGCAGTTATTACAAAAGTCACTTCAAGCCACATTTTCGTTCAGCGAGATGTTCAATGTCCCCTTAATGTTGTATCACATTGCTCCATATAAAATTTTCTTGATTCTGACTAAAAATTTCTCTAAGCGACCAATCGGAGCTTGAAAAAAAATAGCCCTCGTATAAAAAATAGAATTGCATAGAGTTTGTAACATTTAATATGTATATATGAATCTCGTGTTTTACATAACAAATTCTATGGATTTAGATTAGGCATTTTTTCTACTCTAATGGAAATAGGAACTCCCAAAACAAATGTTAGAAAGCAGCAAGCATAAAATTTAGTTCCGATTATAATGATTTAACAATAAATAAATATATAAACAAAAAATAATTAAAAATAAACAAATACATGAAATAAATAACTAAAAAAATAAATAAAGTAAAGCGTTATTTTTCCAAAATTCAGAATTAAAAAAGGTTAACTTAATCCTAATCAAAATATAATCTATTAGTGCAAAAAACAGAAAGTCCATTGAATTATGCGTACACTTAAAATATAAATGAGTGTTGCGTGTTGTCTGTAACAAATTTTGTGTTTCTTGTACCGTTAATGAAAGTAAAAGTACTCGAACAAGTAGGAAATAATATATTTTAATCACTAATTTAAGTCGTTGCTTTCAGACCATTTCTAGTTAAAAAAAATAATAAAATTCGTTTGCTTATTCATTAAAATACTTTTAATGAATGATAAAACGAACGTAGGAAGTAAAATAAATCTAAATCAATTTACCAGAGACGCGTTTGAAATGGAAAAGAATAGTTGAATAGAAAAGGGAAAGAGACATAGAACACTTTTAAACACATTTGGGCACTTTCCAGGTTAATAAAAGTCTTAGAAAACAAACAAGTGGAACTGGATCATTGAGCCTTAAAGCATCCATTACTTCTCGATTAGATTGAAATGGACGAAGAATTGATTACGTAGCAATCAAAAGAATGTTTTTTCCTATTTCTTCAGTTCAGTTTTTCTTTCATACTAAGTACGGAATCTCATTCTTAAAACAGATTTATCTTTTATTTTGGTAGTACTACTACTGCAACACATTTACGGAACATATTCAATGTGACTGCTCTCCCATGAAAAGCTTTTATGTTACTTTTAAAGACTGTTGCCATTTATGGTATGAAACGTTGCTGCGTTCATATTTTTTTATAAAGAAATTATTAAATTTGGTTTAACATTTTGAAGGGCTTACTAAATCCGAACTAGAATAGTGACTTAACTGTTACAAACAACACCCAACCATGAGCAAGCACTTAGCCCCATTTTTAGGGGTCCCGCAGTGAACTGATCGCAAAAGCACGATGCTCAATAGAACACCGAAGTCAAGCATTACTGGCTGCTGTCAGTAAGCGGGTGAGTGACCACTTTGATCAGACTGTGAAGGAATCGAGGGTGCGAGGTATCGGTCCTCGTTTAATTGATTTACAATAAAGAACTCGACTTAGCGATCAGGTTAACAGGCTACCAAAGGGGAAGATCCATCCCGTCTGCAGTTAATTCAAATTATGATGGCATGTCTTCGAATTATCTCAGGAATGTTTCCTAGACGGTCTCCGATAGTCTATTGCAAGCCATGATGGCTCAGGGAGTAGAATGTTCGCCTTTTAATGAGGTGAACCGGGTTCGTCGACCATAGCTGGTGGATACAAGTTTCACATCCGGCTCGCCCCGATTACAGTGCTGACGAAAAATATCCTCAGTGGTAAACGGATCATGGGATAGAGTCCCCTTGCTTTCGGGCTAACCGGGAAAAGTTTTCCTTTCCATGTGACACAAATGCGGGTTAGTTTCATCAAAACGTTCTCAACGACGGCAAATTTCTCCCAATACTTGATCCAGAAGTTCCCTTGTCTTCTGGATAGGGTTCAAAATTACAAGGTTATGGAGTCGAACATTAGTAGTCGTAAAACCAAAAAAATTAGGCCAGCTTGTTCAACTACGGTTATAAAAATATAAAAAATATAAAATAAGATAGTCTATAGTGCAGCTAGTGCGGCGTAAATAAAGTGCCTCCTACCTACCAATTTTACGGCTTTATCTTTTAACAGTCATGGTAAGAACGCCCAGACAACGTGGACAACTCCCGAGCCTTAACTGTTCTCTATAAACTTCCATACCACAACCAGCCAGAGGACTTTCAGCAATGATAGATTTAAAGAGTGTATTGTTGCATATACATGTCACGCCGGTTGGTTAGTCTGCTGCATGAACCGAACTCACAATCTTATGCTCTCTAACAGCGACTTGACCAATGCTTTTACTGATTGCATCACCATAGTGCTAGCTTAACTGTTACGCATAAGCCTGTCGTAATATACTGGTATGGGCTGTCAAAATTTTTTTAACACCCCCTCTGTTAACAAGAGTTGAAATTGCCAGTCATGCTAAGTGAATTCGGCCTGGTTATGTCTTGTGAAAAGCAATTTATGGAAAGGAGTTATTTTTTAAGTTACTATTACATATTATTACATACAATTATTATTTATTATTAATCATATCCGAAATTTATAAGTGTCTTTCAATTCAGCTTAAAAGATCCCTAGGAAATTAAAAAGCTATTCTATTAATATTTTCATAAGTTAGAGATGTTTTCATTTCTCACTAATGCATTTATATTGTATTTCCTTATTATGACAATGCTGTCAATGAAGACATTACGAGTAATTAATGTAGTTAAAAATAATTATTGTTTCATTTAGGCACGAGTACTGTATTATATTGAATAATTTCAGTAACACCTTTCTTGATCATTCAGATACACCTTGACAATATCAAAATTTAGTTTGTTGCTGTTGTTATTGTCATTGCTCGGCCATCGTCTCTCCATCTCCTCTTTTGGATTGCATTGGTGTCTCTGTGAGGCAACTGATAAGTGATGGAGAGACGGTCTATGACTTTCTGATGCGACATGATCTTCTGGACTTGGTCTAGGGCTCTAGACCAGGGGGGTAAGCAACAACAACAACAAAATTTAGTTTGTAGTTCGAAAAATACTATTGACGCTCAAAATTATAATAATTTAAACATCATCCAGATAAAAAAAATTTTCACGAAGGAACATCCTAAAAATACAATAAAAACACCAATTTTCGCAACATCAAATTCCCACTCAATACAAAAATTTTATCAGTTTTATTCCATTGCTTTATTTTTTTTCTTCATATTTTCCAAGGCAACTATAACACGGTTTCGTTGTGCCGAATTTTAATGTGCTTCCGAAACTAAATGATTGGTATTTTTTTAGTTAGCTTACGAGCAAAGTTGAGATGTTTTATCAGGTAGTGAATATTGTTGTTGGTTTACGTTGCTCTAGACGGCACAATGGGATATTGGCAACGGTCTGGGAAACGTTCCTGATTATGATCCCAAGAAAAGGTAGTGAATAAGCAAATGATATACAAATGATAATAATCAATTTCAGATTTGGACATACAAACAACTTTTGTATATTATTTTATAAGAGCAATATTTTTGATTTTTATTTTATTTAAGAAGATTTTCAATTAAGAAAAATGAGTACAATAAAATACAATATTTTTGAGATTCGATTTCTCGGAAACTATTCGACCAATATAACATAAATTTTTTGTTTGATAATGTAAAATTACCCTTTGAAATGATGAAAAAATTGTATGCCCTAAAATTTTTTTTCTAATATTATTAAATATAATAATAAAAATAAGAAATTTTTTACTAAAAGCTATTTTTTCGCATGAGCTTATTTTTTATGAATGAATAGATTAAAACTTTATTGTTATAAAATTTGAAGGTGGATGAAAAAATGTTAAATTATGAGGAACAATTTTTTTTGTAGTGTATTTTTCGGGTGGAAAAAAG